GTTGGCTCCTTTCAATAAGTTACATTTAACTGTCGATACCTTCTCAGTATTTATTTGGGCAACACCCATGAAGGGGGAAACATCAAGACATGTTATTCAACATTGCATCAGGACATTTGCTGTAATGGGGAAACCATTGGCTATAAAAACGGACAATGGCCCATCATATTGTTCTCATTCATTTTCAGAATTCTGCAATTTGTGGGGAACAAAGTTATCTCGTGTTATTCCTTTTAATTCTACAGGTCAAGCTATTGTGGAAAGAGCACACCTCACCTTCAAATCTGTGCTGTATAAGCAGACGGAAGGGAGAGGGATATCCACCGTTGATATACCAACTGTTGTAGCTAAGGTCCTTTATACCTTAAATTTTTTGTTCACTCCCCATAATAGGTCTCATACACCTGTTGAGTTTCATTTCAGGACTGAAGAACAACTTCCACGACCGCTTGTGAGCTATCGAAAATTACCTGATCCTGAGTGGAAGGGACCTGTGCCGTTGATAACTTGGGGCCGTGGATATGCCACGGTAGCTTTGGATAACGGCCCTCTTTGGATTCCTGCACGTTGCGTTCGGCCATGGAGAAAGTCTTCGTAATGTCTTTTCACCTTGCCTTTTTATGCAGCCCCTATTCCGTTAGTAAAGAATACGTTCTTACAACTTGCTAATGATGTTGTTGCCACCACTAATCTATCAGACTGTTGGCTTTGATGAATATTCATTACCATGATGCTGTAAAAAAGGCTACCAACCCTCATCTATATAGACGGAACCTTGATTCTAACACTCGAGGTTTCCTTAATTTCGCTGGGTTTTTCATTCCTTTTTTGCATGGTGTTTTCACCAATCTAAAATTGCTTAGTATGTCTAAAGACATAGAACGCTTGGCCAATGTTTCGAAAATTGCTATAAAAGCTTTACAAGCAGAAGCGGACTCTTTAGCTAAAGTTGTTGTTCAAAATCGCCTTGCTCTTGATTACTTATTTCTCCGCAATGGCGGAGTGTGTGCTTGGCTAAATCAATCTTGCTGTTTCTATGTTAACCAATCTGGTGTGATCGAGCAATCCTTAACTACCATCCAAGAGGTGGTCACAGATCTCCGAAGAGATCCCTCCTCTTGGACGGATTTCTCTTGGTTGTGGTCATGGCTTCCTGACCTCTCATGGTTTCGTTCCTTGCTCATGTATGTTGTTATTATTATCGTGATTTTAATTATGTTATGCTGTTGTATTCAATGTATAGCTTCTCTTGTTGATGTACTCAAGCGTTGCTTTGCTCGTATGCCTTCCCCAACTGTTAATCTTACGGCCAAGCAGCTGTATCAGATCAAATATCACGTTTTGAACTCACGTGATGATGAAGATCATGATCCTCTGCTTCCTCCTTATGAGGATGTGGGGTACCCCCCGCTTGTTCGTAGAGGTTCTTTGGAATCATCTCCTCCTGACGTATGCAATTGGCAAAAATTGACTTCACCAGTCCATTTAAATAAACAAAACGGAGGAGATGTGGGAGTTCATCGCTGGGTCATGCAGAGTTCATCGCTGGGTCACGCTGTAGTCACGTACGCCACGACAGCACTATAGTACCGTAATTTACTTATGTAACCATATAAGGCTTGTAACCATGTAAGGCTTGTAACCATAT